CTGGTAGGCACGCGCTTCCAAGAGGGGCCTGTTTTTTCAACATTTTACACTTGCCTCAATAATTACTTTTAGTTCAGCAGAATAAATTTTAGCAGCCTCAGTACGTGTATCAGCACTGGCTGTTTCACCTACCATCTTAATGTTGTGTAGGTTTGAGTGTTTCTTAAAATACTCAAACCACCCTTTGCTGGCAGTAAAGGGCTTTTCATCAGAACTAACACCTTGTTCCTGGCATAAATCTGTGTACAGACTCTTAGCCGTTTCCTGAATCACCATGGTATTAATGAGCACATTTCGCTTGGTCTGGTCCTCTTCGGAGTCTATTCATACACTGCTTAAGAATTCCATTTTCATCTTAACATCACTCAGATAAAAATACGGTGCACAGGCTGACAATGGAGTAGCAAATTAAAAACTAATGTAACTCAGTTTCTCCCCCTGGTCAAACCTCCTTAACACATCTAATTTTGTTTCCAAGGTACAGTAGGGTCGGGATATATGGCGATAAATCTATTTATTTCGCGAGGGAAATCAGGCAGGAAATATTTCAAATTTACCGCCATGGCAAACAAATGCGTTATTTGCTCACCCGAGGCGCCACCATGGCTGCTCACTCACGCATTCACGCTCGCACAGTCTTTCTGATTCAACTCTTGCCACGTGCGGACGCTGTGCTCTCGCTCTCCAGTCAAGGTCACCATATGCTCTACTACTGTCTACTAAGATGCCTAAGCGTACTAGTACCACTCCTCCTAGTTTAGGTGAGAAAAAGAAGAGGGAAAACCTTCAACATTGGTGATAAAGTGAAGATTCTGAACGAGCTTGAACATAGAGCAAGTGCCTCTTCAGGAGGAAGCCAGTCTTCTACACAAGCTTTGAGTTCTATCTACAGTTTTACCCCGCCTAACGCGGTTTCACTTAACGCGTTTTCGCATATACGCGGTGCCTTGCCAAAGCTGAACTTTCACTTAACGCGGATTTTTTCCACATATACGCGGTGAGTGTCCGAGACGCTATTTTTAGATTTGCCCCACCCGCCACCCTGCCTGACTGCCTGTTTTAGCTCATAAAATTCATACAAATTACCAGGCCAGAATATAATTTACATTGCTGGAATTCTTATAATTTGGTGATCATTTTGAATATAAACATCATATATTTTGCTTTAAACTTACAATTTTTAGATAAAAATTTTTCTCTAGGTAACTATGGTATCTTTTGTGCAAAATATATGACATTTATATTCAAAATATTCCTGGTCTTACAAGGAATCCAGCAATGTCAATTATATTATCCTAACTTTAGTTTGAGGTATTATTTATTAAAATTTAGTGGTTATCCCACACATCTCCTTGGGACGGTTGGTGGGGGGTGGGGGGGAGGGAGGGACCGACCGACCATCTGTTACCCTGTGAAGAATTATTATTTTTTTTTATTAACTGAAGATATTTGTTTTAGCTCATAAAATTCATACAAATTACCCGGTCAGAATATAATTTACATTGCTGGAATTCTTATAATTTGGTGATCATTTTGAATATAAACATCATAGATTTTGCTTTAAACTTACAATTTTTAGATAAAAATTTTTCTCTAGGTAACTATGGTATCTTTTGTGCAAAATATATGACATTTATATTCAAAATATTCCTGGTCTTACAAGGAATCCAGCAATGTCAATTATATTATCCTAACTTTAATCTGAGGTATTATTTAATACTAAATGTTAAAAACTCTGGAAGGGAGGATTGGTGGGGGGTGGGGGGGAGGGTTGGGACTGACCGCGCGGTTGGAAGAGGGGGGAGGCAAGGTGGGGTACTTTGATTGACAGATAGTGTCGTGAAGATTATTTTTTTTTTATTAACTGAAGATATTTGTTTTAGCTCATAAAATTCATACAAATTACCCGGTCAGAATATAATTTACATTGCTGGAATTCTTATAATTTGGTGATCATTTTGAATATAAACATCATATATTTTGCTTTAAACTTACAATTTTTAGATAAAAATTTTTCTCTAGGTAACTATGTTATCTTTTGTCCAAAATATATGACATTTATATTCAAAATATTCCTGGTCTTACAAGGAATCCAGCAATGTCAATTATATTTTCCTAACTTTAGTTTGAGGTTATCCCACACATCTCCTTGGGACGGTTGGTGGGGGGTGGGGGGGGGAGGGAGGGACCGACCGACCATCTGTTAGCCGGCTGTGTAGTGTGAGAGGGGGAGGGAGTTGAGTCCATTATTTGAATGGACATTAACTTGGCGACTGTATTTCTCTATTTCTCTTAAGTATTAATTGTGTGCATGTACCATCATAAAATTAAGATGTTATTTTTACTACAACATAGGTACAGTGGGGTATGCTATAACGAATCTAATTGGTTCTAGAACCTTGTTCGTTATAGCATTCGTTCGTTATAGGATTAATCCGTTCCAGGCCCCCAAATACAACCACATAACACTGAAAAATATAATATAAAATTGAAAAAATTGTAAAAAAGTGCATAAATATGCATCTAAACCCCTGAAATAAAGAATATCATTAATACTTGTAATAAAAAAAAACAATTAATTAGTAAAAAAAAAATTCGTTGTAGGAGTTTCGTTCGTTATAGCATTCTCAATTTTATAGGTAAAACCGTTCGTTATAGGAATATTCGTAGTAGAATCCATTCGTTATAGCATACCCCACTGTATGTGCCTTCAAAAAGTGGAGTTTGGGGGTCGGGCCGGTTTCTATTGGAATTAATCCCATATGTTCTGTTGTTCACTTAACGCGGGACCCTCTGGGTTCAATTGACCGAGTTAAGTGGGGTACAACTGTATTAACATTTAAATGGCTTTTACAACATTTCTGATTTTTAATACTTTTGTTTTTTACCTTGCATTATTTGATTTTAGTCCTTTAAGCCTTTATTTTAATTCGGTGACGTATGACCTAAGCTGTTGCGTCGCCAGTGATGTCATTACCACAAGCAACCAATCAATCAATTCTTGGTCAGCACCCCACGATATGTGCCCCAAGACTCTCAATAACTTGACAGCATGCTGGCAAGACTCTTTGAGGTAATGAATATGTGGCTGGCATGTAAGCCGGTTTTCAAAGATAATACCCAGGAAACAGGTCTCTGTAACACACTGCACACAATGACCATAGAGCTGTAGATCTGGAACTGGGTGAACACCTCGGAGGCAGCAAAAATGCATGACATTGGTCAACAACGGAGAAAATCTGAAACCATGCTCTATGGTCCAACATGAAACCTTGTCTAGTGCAAGTTGTTTGTTACCATCAAGCATGGGTATGCAGCGTACTCACGCCGCTGAACGCAGTTTGTTTATATCTTTTAGTGTGTACACTTCATCTCTCGACTCCAATTCTTTGAGTTACCACAAGTGTATTACCCTCATGCATGATGAATGAAAAGAGGTCAGCAAGTGCATGTGAAAGCAGAGGTACTAAAAGAGGCATAAAAGAATTACGTTGGATATAAAACTTGATGTTTTGTGGAGTTTGATGCAGGAGAAAAACTTAGCCAAATTGCAAAAACATTAGGACTTGCTATATCTCCCAATAATTCCCATTGCACCACCTCACGTCTTGCAGCACTCAACATCGTTTGAGGTGAGGTAAATTAAGTGTTTTGTGTACTGCATTTATTATCATACAGTGAGTTCTGCTATAACGCGTATTTTGATAACGCGAATTTGCTCTAACGCGATTTATGAATTAGGAACGATATTTGTATAACGCGAACGCTTGTTTGCTATAACGCGATTTTTGCTTACTATTTCTCCAATTTTGTGGTACAGTGGGGTATGCTATAATGAATCTAATTGGTTCTAGAACCTTGTTCGTTATAGCATTCGTTCGTTATAGGATTAATCCGTTCCAGGCCCCCAAATACAACCACTTCACACTGAAAAATATAATATAAAATTGTAAAAATTGTAAAAAAGTGCATAAATATGCATCTAAACCCCTGAAATAAAGAATATCATTAATATTTGTAATAAAAAAACAATAAATTAGAAGAAAAAAAATTAAATAATGTTCGTTGTAGGAGTTTCGTTCGTTATAGCAATCTCAATTTTATAGGTAAAACCGTTCATTATAGGAATATTCGTAGTAGGATCCGTTCGTTATAGCATACCCCACTGTATTAACTGTGAATATAGTAAAGAAGAATATCAACAAGAAGCGTTCTGGTGATAGAATTCCCGGTGATGATCGTAAAAGAAAGGATATAACACTTGAAGAGAAGCTCGATTTTATCAACCTCAAAATCACCCTTCTCCCCCATCAAGTAAAGTGTTACATTAACTGTATGATTTCATTATTAGATATGAATGTAACATTTATTTAGACTGTGCTACCCTTTGTGTTAGGCTAACTACTAAATTATTTTGATTTCGAGTAATCTGCACCTAACCCTATTTTCTCCATAAGCCCTGTTATTTCTATTACGCGATTTTCTATAACACGATATTTTACAAGAACACAATTATCGCGTTATAGCAGAACTACCTGTATTATATCCATAAAATAATCAATACAATATAATTTCATTTATAAGTGTGCTTGTATTAATTATTTTTGCTAAAAACAATTCATTAGGAATGCAACTCCAATTACATAATGGAAATCAATGGGGAAATGGGGTTCACGTTATGGACAACTTTTCAAGGACGCATCCCTTCCGTAACCCAGGGGATTAATGTATCACCCTATCAGATGACAATATTTAATTACCCTATTGTGTTGATGTACACCATAGGGACACCTACATAATTACTCTTTACAATAGACAACTACCTGTAAGCTTATAAATACTTATGCAAATGGCACCCCTTCAAGGGAACCCCCCCCCCCCTCTGAAAAATCTGGGATCTGTCACTGAACCTCGATGTTAAGTGAGGACCGTCTGTATTCCATAATTAGTTACAAAGAGATAACAATTAGATTTGGTGTTAGCTGTACATTTAATCTTACCTTGTGTCTAGTACTGGCCTCCATGTTGAAGGCATCAGTGTGATTCACAACTTCTTTAAACTGCCACTGGCTGGTACTTATCCAAACTCTTCATTGGCTTGCTGGTTCAGTTATTGTATAAAATATAAATTAACAGCCAGTATCTTTGGTCAGTTTCCTCACGCCCTACTCTGAAAAAAAATATATATATTGGAATTATATACAATACAGTAAATATATACAGCATCTGCTGGTGAGTACAGCATAATGTAAACAGTTGTGTCTTTTGTTTGTTTACAATACTGTATAAAGTGCTCCCCCCAAGTACGCAGTGGAGCTGGCTGTTGATTGGCTGAGTGGCCACTAGCAATTAATAAGAGACAAGCATATCACTTACTGGCCGTGATGTCACCAATGACGTGGACGCCAGTCCCAGTCCTCAAAACACTTCAGCGGCTTGCTTTTTGCTGTATTTTTGGTGTGTTTTTGGCCTCTACAGCTACCATGGCTAACCCCCCTACTGCTGCTGGAACTCCAGCACCTGCCCAGCCAGACAGAAGAGTGAATTCGATGGCCCTGACACACAAGAAGAAGGTATTAGACTGGCTGGACAATGGCAAGAAAGTGTTTATTCTTCTTATTTAAGGGCTTATTTCGTTTTTATTACTCACCATATTTAACTAAGGTACACATATTTAACTGAGGGTAAACCTTCATTGAGGTTATGTGCATAAAAAGTACTTTGTACAGTGACCCCTCGTTTAACGAACACCTCGGTTAACGTAATTTCAATTAACGAACTGCCTTCCATAAGGATCTTCAATTCGGTTAACGAAAAAAAATTCGCTTAACGAACTTCTTACGAACCGACCTCAACATGTTTTCGCTTGCACTGACCGGGCAACCAGCTTTAGTATCAGTTCACCAATACATTAATCGGTTCTAGGGCTTAAATTCCTTACTATTTTTGTAAATATCAAGAAGTTTATACTATTCAATAATTATAAAAGTTTAATATTCAATTTTTTAGTCATTTTAACAATTATTGAACAAAATTGAAGGTAAAGTGACTAGTTTAATGCGCGGCATCCAGCCTCTTAACACAGCAAACAGGCGTCAGTCTCTCTCTGTTTTCACTGGAGGTAACATCTTGCTTGAGACTCTCTTCAACTAAACGCTTTTTTTCTGTTTCCAAGCAAATTATTGGTCATTTTGAAATATATTTTATATATTGACAATATATAATGCAGTGCAGCGTTGATTTAAAGAAAATAATCTTGAATTAAACCAGAGAGCTAAAATTTTATGGGTGAAATGGCACCATGGGGTGACTTCTCTTCCACCCCAATGCCTTCTCTTCTTCCTTCTCCTCCACCCCCATTCTAAATCCCATCATCATCATCATCATCCAGGAGCCTTCTACATACACACCTCAAAGTAAGTGAACTTTTCTACCATTTTTGTTGAATTTAGGAAATTTTCGGTGAGCTGGAACCAATTACCCAAAAACCCATTGAAACAATGGTTTCGGTTAACGAACGTTTCGGTTAACGAACGACCTTCTGGAACGGATTGAGTTCGTTAACCGAGGGGCCACTGTATATTTATTTAAATAATGAAGAAAATTTGATTGAGAATTTTGTGGCAGCTGTGGTTGTAGATGAGTTGCCAATTCATTAATATAATTTTCTTCATTATTTGAGCAAATACCGTATACGAACATTTGGAAACTTCTCATGATCTAAAATAACGATGAATAGTTTATTAATATAAAAATGCTACTTTTGGCTTGTTTAATATTTATCCTGCCAGTGATACAGCCTAAAATAGCTAACCTCCTCTTCTATATTACTTGTTTTTCATACCATCATAAAGTTATGATAAAATTTTTTTTACAATACATAGGTTGTGTGTCGTCATAAAGTGGAGTTTGGTCGGCCGGACTCTTCAATTAATCCCATATGTTATGTTATTCACTTTAGCCCTCACTTTCTCAGGGACCCTGTGGGTTACATTAACCTCAGAGAGTGAGGGTGGACTGTACATACGTAAAACCAAAGATTTTACCTAACCTTCCGATGTTCAAGAGAAGTTACTGCTTTTTAATAGTTTTTGGTTAAAATATTGTTATATACAATTGGTATTCTATTCATACTCTGCTTGGATATAATGCATTCACAGAAATGTAATATTTTTTTGAAAAATGATGGCGTATTACAGAAAGTGGGATAAAATCGTGACAAAAACAATGACTTTCGCTTTTTCGTTTCAAAAGATGTTATTGTACGCTTTTATTGGTTTTCAGTTAAAAACTGTTGTATTACAATAATATTTTATCCTAATTGACTTGAATAAATACTATGATACCATATTTCTGAATATTTTCATTTAAAATCCATCCAAATCATTTTCTTGCATCGCCTGCAGCACCAAACAAGCTTCTCCCAGTCCTCTCTTGAACAGGGGTAGAGGGTACGTGTTTTTCAATTCGTAGTTAAAAAATTGTTACATCAATAATTTACTAAACTGCCCTGAATGAATATATTTTGAAATAAATAGTAGTTTTGCTGAAACGCGATGTATTTCTGTAAATAGGATAAAACACATGACTAAAACAAAAGACTTTACCTAAGCTTCCGATGTCTTTCGTTTAATAAGGTTTTCGGTTAAAATACTTTTGTTAATATATGCGTTCTGAAGATATAATACATTCACTGGAATAATATTTTTGAAAATTACTGACGATACAGTGGAAAGTGGCATAAATCGTATGAAAACAATGACTTTTAAATCAAATCGTGAATTGATAATCGCTAAAATTTCTATTAGTCCTAATTAATTAGTAATGACTGTACTGTATTGTATGTGTCTATAAACGTTTATTTTCATTAATAAAAGTGCTTGAATTACTTTTTTGGTGCCGAAAAAATTCATAGGAACGCATCTCCAGTTTTATAATGGAAGTCAATGGGAAAATAGGTTTCGCGTTACGGAATTTCGAAATACGGTCAATTTTCCGGGAACGGAACCTATCCGTAGCGCGGGGGATGCCTGTATCCTAACTTTAGTCTGAGATATTATATAAAATAAACAAAGAAATCACCAATCTTTTGTCTGGGAACACAAGGAGGGAAGTAGCCAGGAGGGGGGGTGTGAGTTGACAGAATGTCTGGCGTTTATTTATTTGAGATAAGATTTGACAGGTGGCGATGAAGGGCTGCCTGCGTTTATTATCATTACTTAAGAGTGACGAAGCTCTTCTCATAATTTGCCACCCAAACGACCTGGGTGTATATAACTTACATTGGTAGGATTCTTGTAAGATAGTAATTTATTTGAATAGCTGTATAGACAAGCTATATTTGCAAGAGACAACAATTTTAGTCCCATAATCATTTAGTACATGTACAATACAGGTTTGCACTTAGGTCCATTGTTAATAGCCAATATTGACTAAATTCACTAGATAACGTACGCCTGGCAGCACAATCTATAAGAATATGCAATGCATACGTGACTGTGCCTGCGCTAGGGCCATTTAGGTTCACTACGTCACATTATTTGGATGTTTTTTTTTTTTATCAATTTAAATTTGAATTGTTTATTCCTTGATAGAGGAAGCGGGATCCTAGTGCTGTCACTTGGTACCCCCTGTACCATAACACCAGAAGCAACTGGCCAGTGTCACAAGTATATATAGTACAGTACAATCATCCCTTGGTTATCGCGCCTAATTGGGACCCCTTGGTGTGATATTGAAAAACATGATAACGAAAGTACAGAACCTATAGGATTTATTCTAATTGGTTCCAGGCACCCAAGACAACCCCCAAGTTTCCCATTTTTCGACCATTTAGACCCACTAAATACAGTTAACCCTCACTTTACGCGGTTTATGTAACCCGGAGGGTACCGCGGAAAGTGAGAACGTAAAGTGAATAACATAACATATGGGATTAATAAAAGAATTCCTCACTTTACGCGTTTATGTAACCCGGAGGCACGTGAAAAAGTGAGGAACGCCAGAAAGTGAATAACATAACATATGGGACACTCGCTGGAAATGGAGTCCGGCCCCATCCTCAAACTCACTTTTTGACGCATACAATAACTATGTTGTAGTAAAATTTTATCTTAACTTTAGATGGTATGAAAAAAAATGCTAATATAGAAGAGGTTAGTTAGAAAGATAAAGCGTTAACATAGGAAAAATAAAGGTAAGGTTAGAAAACTAAAATTAGGTGTAAGAATTTACGTGTAGTAGAAGGAGATGGGTCGCATACGGGATGGAGGCTGACCCGAGGCAGAGGGCAGAGTACTGGCCTCAGGTGAGTCACTCGTTACTAGGTGAATCAACATCACTGTTACTTACAGTTGTCAGGGCTTCCCTGACAACTTCAAAGTCACCTCACTGTCACTATCACTGGCTAAGAAAATCTGGCGCTTTGCTGACGGCTGGCGCGTTGATGTTGTCGTGCGGATACACCTGATGCACGGGTTCCATAGCCTGCACCAGCCGGGTATGGAAGACTTCATAGCGGCCATCGCCGGTTGTCGTGCGTAAAGGAAGGGATTTCATCTTCTCTGCACACCCATGGCACCCTTAATATCACTTTGCGACTTAAATTGTGTTCTTCGATTTGACGACCTTCTTCCTCCTCTTCACTGACGTGTTCTTCTTCCAAATATCCTCGGCCGGGCAGTCACTTCAGATCTCTGATCACCTCCAGATGTCGTCACAGGTCTCGGAGAAGCCTGGAACTGTAACAGTTCGCGCAGCTTCTGGTACAACCACCGTTACTGCAACATTCCTGAACCTCCTCACCAGTCACAGATTGACTCCTCCTCTCACCTGGTATTCCATGCAAACACATGTCTCCATGCTGCGATTTAATTGCAGTAATAGACAGCTGATCCCATGACTCCACCAAGAAGTCCACAGTTTTCTTGATGTTAAATACCTAGAATTGTTTGAAGAGTATTGCTATTCTAACTGTTGATCCCTCATCTTCTTCGCCCTATCGGTGGTGGTGTCACTCAGATTACGTGAACTCTTCCTGGTGTTGCGCTTCTGCTCAGGAGCTGAATTTTTTTTGTTGAGAATGCAGCTTACATTGCAAATCAACCCCTGGGTCCATGGGCCGATTAAAGAAATAGTGTTGGAGGAAGGAAGACCACTTTTACGCTGGGGGTGACGATCTAACAGTAGGGACGAAAGTGTCCTGCGCGCTTGTCCAGCAGCAACAAAATATTAAATGTGACATTCTGTCGCTTCACAGAATTTCTTTATGATCGAACAAAACAGTCATCAAACCAGGAGAGGACAGTGTAGAGAACATCCATGCCTTTTACTGCAGCAGTCAGCCAGTGGACATTTAGCTGGTCATGTCCATGCTCTGTAGGCGGCGTTTGCGGCTGTGTGGATCACCGATAACTTGAGCTACAGGGTACCGGAGGCAGCTGGTAGTAAACAGGACGGTGATGCTCCTTCTGCATTTTCCGCCCAATCGCTGGCATTCTTCACAACGAAGGACTTGGAAGGTAGTTTTTCAGAAAAGACCAGATTCGTCCATAAA